ACAGCCTCATGGTAACAGAAATGGTACCCTCCACCCCTGACTTATGTTGATTTGGGGTTATGCAGTGGCAGCTCAGGTACATAAGAAAATAAGAGAAGCCAATGCTGGATCAGGCCAATGGCCCATCTAGTCCAACACTCTGTCACACAGTGGCCAAAAATACCCGGTGCCATCATGAGGTCCAGCACTGGGCCCAGGACACTAGAAGCCCTCCTACTGTTGCCCCCCCTAGAAAACCACCTCCTCCTATGCCATGTCTTCTGAGTTCAAAGGGTCTGGAAAGGGGTTCCATAACCAGTTACAGGGTTGCCAACTCTGGGTTGGGAAATACCTGTAGATTTGAGGGGTAGAGCCTGGGGAGGGTTTGGGGTGCGGAGGGACCTCAGCAGGGTATAATTCCATAGAGTCCATTGCCCAAAGCAGCCATTTTCTCCAGGAGAACTGATCTTGGAGATCTCCAGGTGCTGCCTGGAGGCTGGCAATACTAAGGGGAGGGCCAGACCTGTAGATTTGAGGGGTAGAGCCTGGGGAGGGCAGGGTTTGGGGTGCGGAGGGACTTCAGCAGAGTATAATGACATAGGGTCCACTGCCCAAAGCAGCCATTGTAACTGCTGGGAAATTTTCTGTAGGGGAAATGATGTGCTGTGGCTGGGGAACACAGTGATTTCTGGGAGATCTCCAGGCCTCACAGGGAGACTGGCAACTCCAGTGACCATTTAAGGGAAGATTGGGATATGTATTTTGGCAACTCCAGTGACACATTCAATTACTCCGAACAGCAACAGCAAACTATTTAGAATCTTAGAGGCAAAGGCCAATCTGTGTTCCGACTGGCTATTGGGGGGGAAAGCAACAACAAACTGTTTAGAATATCGGAGGCGACACTCAGGCAATGCAGCCAGTGGATAGGGATAGCTTCTGAGTGACACATCACGGAGCCAACTGATTTGGGTGCGTGTGGAATGTTCACGAAGTGCCATCACCAAAACACAATTATATACAAGGAGAGATGCCCTGGTAACATGTAGATAAGACTGTAACAAGTGGGATGGGGCTGCGAGACATGGGATGGGTTCCCATCTCCCCCCCATCACTGAACCTGACATGGCTCCAGGCCTCATCACCCACCTTTGAGCCCAGCAGCAGCACTGTTGGAGCCTGGGAGATGCTCCTACCCTGGAGTGACTCCTGGAGCCCTCCAGCAGGGCTGCTGGGCCCGGAACAGCTCCCGGCATCCTCTGCCATGGTGGCTGGGCCAGACGCTTCTCCCAGCATCTGCTGTGACCAGGCCTGGAGTAGCTCCCAGCAGCAGCCACCACTAGCTTTAGCACTGAGTGCACTGTCTTTGCATGCACATTTTTTTTTTAATAATATGGGGGGAATTTAAACCCCCAATGCATTTTTAAAAAACATTTCAGATTTTCCTGCAAACCTGGGAAGTCCCTCAACTTTGCAGAAAAATCTATTTAGTATCAGTGAGGTCCCAGTCCTTAGATTTAGGTGTCTGCAGACAGGGGCCACACTTCACTATTAGATAAACAGATGAATTGTACGTGGGGCTGCCCCTGAGAACTGTCCAGAAACTTCAGTTGGTACAGAACGCTGCAGCCAGAATGTTGACTGGAGTGGGTCATAGGGATCATATCACTCCAGTCTTGTTATCTACACTGACTCCCAATTAGCTTCCATGCCCACTTCAAGGCCCTGGTATTGACCCTTAAAGCCCTATACAGCTGGGGTCCAACATTCCTCAAGGACCACTTACTCCCATATGAACCTACCTGACCACTCAATTCATCTTCAGGGGCCCTTCTGGGCGTTCTCACTGTTTGAGGTTCGACTAGTGGCAACCCTAGAAAGGGCCTTTTCTGTCACACAACCCAAATGATTGGGTTGTGTGACAGCCCACTGCAGGCAGCAGAAGCTTGCCTATCTCTCCTGAGCAACTGAGAAAGTCTAGGAAAGCAAGCTATGATGCAGCAGCAGCAGTAGAACTGGAGGAAGAAGCAGAAGACAGCCAGTCCCTTACGGGCCTGATAGAAACCCTCTGAGGGCTTGATCTGGCCCCCGGGCCGCATGTTTGACACCCCTGACTTATAAGAGGCAACCTTGAATCCTCTAGATCACTGGTTCCCAAAGTGGGCAATACTACCCCCTGGGAGGCGCTGGAACAATCCAGGTGGGCGGTAGGATCCTTGGGTGCAATTGGGGGGCATTGAATAAAAATAAGGGGGCAGTGGAAGCATGAAGAAAGAAGAGTCCAGAACCTACCATGTTTCCCCGAAAATAAGACACTGTCTTATATTTATTTTTTCTCAAGAAGACACACTAGGGCTTATACAACAAATGCATAGAAATCCTGCTAGGGCTTATTTTTGGGGTAGGTCTTATTTTCGGGAAAACAGGGTATCTAAAGCAGCCTTTTCCTGCCTTCTCCCGGTCTTTCCTGGGATCAGGGAGGTAGGGGGAGGGGTCCCCACAGCCAATCACAGCCACGCATTTGTAAGACTGGTGTTGCTGCTGGGCTATTGTGTGGTGGTTGCTGGTGCCTCTGGCTTCAGGCCAACAACATTTTTCTTTACTTACAACAACCATCTTTCTTTACTATGTGCAAATTTGTCACTGCATCTTTTTGTCCACTTCCTGAAGGTAGATTTCCAGGTGAGTGCTGAGTAATTTTTTCCCGAAAAGGGGGCGGTAGGCCAAATAAGTTTGGGAACCTCTGCTCTACACCCTTGGTCTTCCTATCTTTGAAGTAGCAAGATTTACTATTACCTGCAATCACTAATGATTACTCCCTGGACAGGTGATGGGTGGGATGAAATGAAGTGGAGGAAGGAAAGGGCTCTTTTATTTCCCCCTTTCACTTGCATTCACTGACCAATTATGTGTGAGGAGCAAGTCAGTAAGACAAAGTGAATTTCTTCAATTGTTTTATAAAATCCAATATGTTTTAAAATCCACAGTAACAACACTTAGAGGGACTGCAGCCTTACCCTTTGACAGGAATATCCTTCCTATCCATCTCCAAGGACCATATTTTGAAAGTGTTTTCATTTCCTTTGTTTTTAATAAGCCATGGTGGTGCACTTGGGAGCTTGCAAACCACGCTGCAACATTGCTCTTACTCAGAAATATAATGTGATATTCCAGATGCACAAGCTCTCATAAGAAAGGAATGGGCCTATTATGTACACAAAAACAGTTTACCTGCTGCATTTCCATCATGGTCTCATGAAACACTTCCACACTGTGCTCATGCAATTTAAAGGAATGTGAAAAAATCAAGGAAATAACCTAATTGTAGGGACACTGCTCCGCAGGGTATATGGAGCTAGCTAAAAATAAAAGAATAAGATGTAGCGGAATAGAATTGCTTGTCCTGGGATAATTTCCCTTTGCTTGTACCATTAAGGGAAAACGCACAAATCAGTTCCCTCAGCTACAACTAAACTTGTGCCTGCAAAAGGCAGGTTATGGGGGGGGGGAGCTCTTCCTTTTTCCAGTCATGTGCTGCCACTTGGTGGAAATCAGCATGCATGCACACATCACGGTGTTCACCATGCTCCTATATTTTGTTATTCTCCCTCTACAGCTTTTCCAGCTCAGCCCCTTAATATTTTGTAAAACTACCTACATTTCAATACACCCCTGATTTGCACTGGGGCATTTTTATTCCATTCCAAATATTCCTGCCAGCATTGTTACTGCTTTTGGAGATCTTATTAAGCAAATACTTTGAGGAAGCTTTCCATGTGAACTTGATGATCACATCTTCCTACTACACAACCACAATTACATCTTCCTACCACACTGTTTCATTTAATAACAAAGCACCTCTTTTTCTCACTCATAGGCCAATTCCATGCAATCCTATTGTTGGAAGTCACACTGAGATCAATGAAATTTACCCCCATCCATAGGATTACAGTCTATATACTGCAGAAAAGCACCTAAATTCTGAAGCATACTATATTCCTCTTTAAGCTTATATTTAGCACCAAATATAAAAAATTTTCATGGAATATGGCTTTCAGCTCTCAGAAATACTGTTCTGGTGCTGCAGTCATATATTTAAAAACAGGAGCTATGACTTCCAAACATACTTAAAACATCGGCAGAAAGAGAACCTATCAGTGTGGAGCAAATGGAAAACTAGTGAAGGAGAATTGTTGAAACTCTATTTCAGTGAGTATGTATGTACTGAAAACTGGGGATAACAGTTAATATGTTGTAATATAGTAAATATGACATGGAAATATAATTTTCAGTTCACAGTTAATGAGTACCAGCTATCTGAAGAAGCCTGGTGTGAACTCGGCAGTGAAGCCCGCCCTGTATAGCTGTACTTACATATGAGGTGGAACTATTGCACTCCTGAAGTTTTTTATACAAAGGAATTGTGGACTCTAATTGTATTCTCCTTTTGTATCAAGTACTTTTTGTTCCTAGCTCTGTAAAATATATATATATGGGTTCTTTAACAAAGATTTCAAAATGTTTGAATTGTTTCATACAATATAATTTTTCGGCTTATGTTCATAATTCATTCGCAGTGTGTGTTGATATTTATACAACCACCTGGAAGTTGGCAACCCTATTTCACAAGGCTTGGTCTCTTCACCGAATGTGAAGGAGGTCTTGGGAAACTCTCGCTCTGCAAGCTGGGTCCCAAACTTCTCTAACCACAACAGATCAAAAACGTTCCCTAAAAGGGGCCTCGCGTTCCTAATTCAACTCTTAACACCATCTAATCAAGGTCAAAGCCAGTACTCTTCTCAAAATCCTGCGCAGGCGTACCAAGAAGCCAGTGAAAGCGACCGTGACTGACTCACCAAACAGGCCACCTACAACCGCGCGAAACGCGAATAACTACGAACACCACTACCTCCCAAAGCGCATGCGCCTTGGCAGGCGGCCTGTAGCGCTAACGAATATGCCGGGGGAAAGGCGGAGTCGAGTGACGTAATACGGTGGCCGGGAGTTCGAGGGCTCGCGGCCACTGTTTTGTCCTCAGCCGCCGCGGAGAGCTGTCACGGCCTCTCTAAGGATGGAGCGTATCGATCGTTGGGCTCGTTCTGCGCGTTCCTGCCTGGTGCGAAGCTCGGTGCGGAGGGCCATGCCTTGGGGGCTGCTGCTCCTCACGCTGGGCGGCTCCCTGGTGAAGGAATGGGCACCGCTGCCCGAATCCTACTTCAGCAACAAGCGCAACCTGCTCAACATGTGAGGCATTTAGGGGCGGGCCTTCCTCCGGCTCTGAGGTCGTGTAAGGGGAGAGGGATCTGAGGGGTGGGGACAGCCTCGCCGCAGGGGAGGGGGGCCTTTGTTGGTGGGGGATACTGGGGGGGGGGGCTGATTTTGAGGAAGGGGGCCCAGAATGCGAGAAGGGGAGCGCGGGGTGAGGAGGAATGTTGATAAGAGGGTGTTGTTCTCCTGCAAATGGGGGTGAGGGTTTGCAGGAAAATAAGTTTCCCATCTTTTCAAAGGCTGTAGGCCCATGAAGTTCCATACAGCCAGGTAAAATAGCCTACCTGTTCAATTCGAAGTGTAAAAAATCAAGCCAAAACAAATAATCTCTTGAAGAAGTGGCAGGAATTCATGCCTTAATACATTTTTAGTGGCTATATTTATGTTGTGCCTTTTTTCTGTCTGTCTGTGTATAAATGAAGTTTGCCATACCGGGTTAGTTTCAGCAAGGATGCTGTCTTGTGTCTTTTCTGGCTGTAGCCTGGGACTGACCATTCCCTGAGTGGTGGATCTCACACATGCATTGAACAACAACAACAAAAATTTTTAACCAAGTATTAAGTGGGATGCTCAGAGCATCGCCCCCTTATGATCTACTGTGTTTTTCTTTATTCTTTTTGCTTAATCTGCCTCTGAATTTAATCCTTCAGTTTCTTTGAACTAATCTCATTTTTACAGAACTTTGAAATTCACTTGCGTCAGATTTTATGGGCAGTTTTCAGCTCACACTGTTGTGACTTTGTGCTCACTGCTGTTAAGCAATGCAGTGGTGCTTACATTTGTTCCAGATCCTAGATTCTGCTTTAGAGAAGTATTGCCTGTCATCTGATAGCTTCCATAAGTATATGATCTGGCACAAGGCTCAACCGAAAGCCCTGGACATGTCTACATAAATGTATATGAATGATTTAAAATAATCTCTGATATCCACATCTCTGACTGGCTTACAATGGAGCTGAGAGTATTTCTGTTTGATTTCTCTCTGGCAGCTATTTCGTCAAACTTGCCTGGGGCTGGACATTATGGCTGCTGCTGCCTTTCATCAGTATCACAAACTACTACGTCACCCGGAACACACTGGCAGTGTTGCGACGTATCACCAGTCTGCTGGTCGGCACTGTGGTCTGGTATGCATGCACGATGGTGTTTCTGCACATTGAGGATCTCACAAGCAGCTGCTATAAATCCCCAACCCTTGATGTGCTGCACCGGCAGCATCTCAGCAGACTGCAGTGTCAACAAGCTGGTGGCTTCTGGCATGGTTTCGACATCTCGGGGCACTCCTTCCTCCTCTCGTACTGCGCCCTAATGATCGTGGAAGAGATGGCTGTGATGCACAATTTGAACACCTCCAGGAACCCCCGGCTACACATGGTGCTCAACTGCCTGTTCTTGGCTTTGAGTTGCTTTAAAATGATCTGGTTGTTCATGTTTGTGACCACTGCTGTATATTTCCATAACTTCTCCCAAAAGCTTTTTGGCACCTTGGTGGGCCTCTTGGCGTGGTATGGAACGTACAGGGTCTGGTACCTGACTCCTTTCTCTCCTGGACTTCCTCCCCAAAATGTTAGTTTGAGCTCTCAAAAGCCCAAACGTAGCCTATAAAAACAGTTCCTTGTGAGTCAGACTTTGTTTTAAGGATTATTAGTTATTTGGTACAAAGTTCTTAAAACAAAGTGTATTTAAAGGAAGGTGCAAAAGACCAAATATTTTTGTATTCTGGCTAGAGGGCGTGGTCTAGTTCCAGATAGAGAGGGTACTGCCCAGTTACAAGGCAGCTGGTTAAGCTTTTTGGCTAACCAAGTCAATAGAAACACTAATGATTGCTTCGGCAGTGGAGTTCCAAAAGGATTTTTTTGGGGAAAACTCTACTAAAGTCAGCTAAGGCTCATTGACTAATTTTATAAGCCAAACATATATTGAAATTGCTATAATAATGTAGCAGTTCAGCTGAAGGTATTGGCCAAGAGGACTCCTTGGATTGGATTCTTCCAGCTTTCCACTGATGGAAGTAGACTGTTCCCTGTCTTCCCGTTCCTCCAGCAACCCATTTTGACTCCCCCAAAGGCTATGCTACTGGATTGAGACTCTCATGGGGACAAACGGCCACATGGCTTGGAGGGGGCTATAGTAAGGAGAAGAATGAAGTGGGATGATCCCTCCTCCCTTTTGCATTAGTGCAAAACTGGTAGAATCCCAACTTCTTAGCTGAGGGTCTCCCTAATCCTTTGCATAGATACTCTAACATTTTACACCAGGCTGTCTGTAAGCCATTCCAAGGTATCTTGGAGTCAAGAATGGAGTTTGTTGCAAATATTAGGCTTCCTGTGATGGTAATAGAGGGCCATCAGCTGAGTCAATGGTAGTTAATGCTATTTATGGGTTAATAGAACAGAAGTCGGGAACATTGTCTTACATCCATTTTGTGTCCCGAACCTGAAGTTCCAGGCTGTTAAGTGTTCTCAGTCTCACTTCGATCTGAGATCAAACCGCTGTAAAATTACTTTCTAAATGTTTTCTTTGTACGAAATGCCTTGCATCATTCAGCTGTGTTGCTAGATTTTCAGGGCAATCCTAAACAGAGTGACACCCTTTTGCATGCATTGGAGTCAGTGGGCTTAGAAAGGCACTGCTCTTTTTAGGACTGCGCTGGTCGTTTCTCCAGCTGGTAAGAGTCTCTTAAGTAACTCGATGATTGCCCCTGTGGCAATACAGCACTGCTTAGCTGTTGCAACATGCTTTGTGTTGGCAATCAAAGCTCTCTTGTTGAAAACAGGGTGTGGGTTACAAAGTTGCCACCTCTCACATCCTTCAGTTTTATTTTCATCTGTTAATTATGTATCCTGACTAGCTCTATCAATTGACAGCAAAAAGAAAGTCATTTTGTTCTTAATGGGCATCTGATATGAAAGACTGATATCAAAGCCTTTGGCTTTGAGAAAAATACAGAGATGAGCCCACTTCAAGTGACATGTTAGATTTGTAGCTTTGAGTGCTTTATTTGTTTTCACAACACTAATATTTTTAAAACGAAAACATAGTATTTATTCTATATTACGTTGTTTGCTCCAGTTTTCTGACTTGGCTGGTTGCTTTGGAGATCATTTTAAATTTTAAATTTCAATGAATGTGTAGTCTGTAAAGACACAAGAGTGCAGGGTCTCTCTATTCCAGAGTATCTCACCCAAGCCAGTTTGGTGTAGTGGTTAAGAGCGGTGGACTCTAATCTGGAGAACCAGGTTTGATTCCATACTCTTTCACATGCAGCCAGTTGGCTGACCTTGGGTCAGTCAAAGTTCTCCGAGAGCTCTCTCAGCCCCATCTACCTCACAGGGTGTCTGTTGTGGGGAGAGGAAGGGAAAGTGATTGTAAACTGCTCTAAGACTCTGAGTGAAGGGCAGGGTATAAATCCAATCTCTTTTTCTTCTCCTGCAGATTTATTGAGGGGTTATCCAAAATCTGCCGTCTTCAATT